TGTGCACTTCCTGAAGCTTTGTGATTCATCTCTAACACCTTTTTTAGGACTCACTCAACAGGTGACAAATATATGTTGAGTGCTACTACATGCCAAGGACCAGGCTTAGTTCCGGGATAAACATCACAAACAAGAAACCCTGTTTCTCTGCCGCTCTGACCACAAAGGCTAGGGACAGGTGGCATTTTATGGCCTTTGATTTTCACAGACACAGACTTGTCTGAAAATCTGGATGAAAAGTGAATTCATGTTGCCCTTCTTGGCTCCTGGCATCTAGATCTGAAAGAGCTGTTATACCAACCTAGTGTTTTACCTGAGCTAGGCCAACTCTGCATCAGTGAGCTTGGAGCTGAAGATTCAAGATATTCCTAAGAGGCTTGTCCTCTGTGAATATCCCAAGGTCACCAAGGATGGTTGAGTAGGTTGGGCACCGTACATGAGTGTCCTTTTGAGGGGCTACCAATCCTAGTGCCAGAAGAAAGGCTGTCTTCTTCAATCTGGTCCACCTGGGAGGGCACCTTTTTCTATTTTTCCACCCCAAGTGGCACCTTGTTCTAATTGGTTTTCAGGGCAGATAGAGAGAAAGTTTCCCTTTTCTAACTGATCAGCCCAGAGAGGGTGTCCTTTCCTAATTGGTCAGTCTAAAGGTGGCATCTTATGTTAGTTTTGCACACAGGCACATCAGTGCTAGCAGCAGCCCTATAATTGCTTTCTTTGCAGGGTTCCTGAAGGTCTGGCTGCCTCTACTTCTGTGGGCCACATTGACCCTGATGTCTCAGTGATCGGCAGATGGAAACCCTGTGCTCTGTGGCTTCATTTCCTGCTGGCTGGGAATGATGCAGCTTAGTGCTCCAGTCACAGAAAAGGGAGCTCATACTTCAGTCAACCTGCTCCCGTTTCCCTCCCCCGCCGCCTTTAATCCTCACTGTCGCAAAATATCCTGTATCTTTAAATTCTGCCTTCTCTCAAAATGGGACTTGTGATGTGTCTGCACATAAGGTCCCATGTCTCCTTAAAGAATGTGGCAAAATAATAATAATTTTAAAAGCTCAGTCTTTGAAGTCATTCATTCATTCAGCAAGTATTTATCGAGCACCTACAATATACACAGGAACTGGTCAAAGTGCTGAGGATCCTGTGGTGAGAAAAACCAGACTGCATCCCTGCACTCATGGAGTTCACACCCTGGTTGGAGAGACTGGCTTCAGCTGGTTCTGCTGTGTAGTCAGATGAAATACATGATATCTCTGAGCTTCATCCACCCACTCTTTCATTCATTCATCCATCGATCCATTTATTCAAGAAATATTTGCCAAGAACCTCCTATGCGCCAGCCCTGTGCTAGCTGCTGGGGATACAGCAGGGGATGAGCCCCACACAGCCCCTCCCCTCCTGGAGCTTACAGTCTGGCAGGAAAGGGAGAACTTGAATGGTGATTACAATGTGGCAGGCGTGGGAGAAATGGCAAACATGGACGGTGTAACTGGGGGCCGCTGCTGCTGTATAATGGGGATAATAATGATGCTTTCACAGGGTCATTCAGCTTTGCAGAAACATTTACGTGAGCACCCAGTATGTGCCAGGTACCGTGACAGGTGCTGGGGAGACACTAGTGAATAAGACAGACACAGTCCCTACCTTCAGAAGTCTCACAGTCTTTAGAGGTGATGTACTGACCCATCCTAGGGACCTCCTCCCTCCACTGCACTTGTCCTTCTCCATCTAGAAGATGTAGGCCTGTGTATAGAGCCACAGCAGCAGTGGAGAGCAGACCCACTACCCACATTGGGCAGGGCCACTTCATGAGGGGGCCTCCAGGAGGCTCACTGAAGGCACAATCAGAAACCAAGAGGCTGCTGGGCCCAAGAGATCCAGATATTCCAAGGGACTTCTTTGTCAAGGCCAGCAGAAGCCAATGCTGATGGGAAATGTCTGCCCTGACACCAGCTGCTTCCCAGGACTCCAGCTGCAGCTTTCTAGGACAGACCAAGACCCTGTTGCGTTAGTGGAGCCTTCTGACCTCAGGGAAAACCACACGTGTGTATCAGCAAACGGGCTATGGGGACGTGTACCTGGAGTTAAAGGACCTCACAGGCAGACACGCAGACATGGACGGAATCCCCATACCTGTTGCCTTTATAGAAGAGCTTTATGTAGGAGGACTTCGGTGCTGAGCCCAGCCCTGTCTATGGTCAATCCGTGGTCAGTGGAGCCTGGCTGGATTGTGTGCATATTCACTTTGACCCAGGTACAACAGAACATGAAGAAAAATAAAAACAGGGGCCAAAGGCAAGAGCCAGGGAAAAGAAAACACCAGAATTAATCCCTTTGTCCCTCTGTTACTTTTCTTTTCTTTTCCTTTCTTTCCTTTTTCTTTACTTTCTTGTTTTTTTATCCTTTAGGTATTCAGCTCAATATTCAATAGATATTTTAAACATAAATTCAATGCCGGGCACTTTTATAGGCACTACGGAAAAAGCAAGTAATCAAAACAGAGACCTTGATGGTAAAGAGCTCAGGTTTAAAAGCGGGGAATACATTTAAACAATATGTGAAATGTCAGGTGGGGACAAGCACTTTGGGGGAAAAAAACAAGGAAGAGAATAGAGCTATGGGGTGTTATTTTATATAGGATGGTCAGGGAAAGTCTCTCTGATAAGCAGAAGCTGAGAGAAGTACGAGAACAAACCAGGGGGTTATCTGAAGAAGAACATTACAGGCAAGTGCAAAGGCCCTAAGGCAGGATCTTTGTCTTCCTAGCAAGGTTTCACTAAGACTTGGACAGCCATAAATTTTGAGGCATTACTCACAGGAGAGGCTCTGATGCATGTATGTTATTTTTTTTTTCCATTTGTTTACTCAACAAGTACTTACTAGGTGTTGGTTAGAACTGCAGACAAGATCCCTGTCCACAAAGAACTTACAGCCTTCAGAGGGAGACAGGTAAATTAGTAGGTAATTGAGTGGGATTGGAATCAGCCCAGAGAGGCACAGGAGCAGAAAAAAGATGCACCAGCAAGCCTGTGGTGTTCAGGAAAGTCTTCCTGGGAGAGGTGGACCTAAATATGTGGTAGGAGGCTGGACACAGCATGATCTGGGCAGAGGGAATAACACATGCAAAGGTCGGGAGGTGGGGAAGAGTTCCGAGAGCCACAGATTGGCTGGAGCATAGAATGTGTGGGGGAGAAGCTGTAGGTGAGGTAGGAGCTGTGGCCAGGGGTCAGATCCCAGGAAGCATGAAGGGACAGGAGTCAGGGATAATGCTGAGAGGTGATGCTATGGCATCTGGCTGAAGGAGAGGTAACAGAATCAAAGGGGGACAGAGTGAAAGCAAGGAGACCTACTAGGCACCTGTTAAAAATCACCCTCATAAGATGACGGTAGCCTGAATTAGGGTTGGTGAAATGGGGCTAAAGAAGGAAAGACAGATTCAAGAAATACTTGAAAACTGACAAGTTGTGGTAATTACCGGAAATGTGAGACTGAGGGAGAAAGGAAGGAGCCAGGCTTCAAGCTTGGGTGACCAGGTACATAGCGGTGCCATGGATTAAGACAGACCATGCAATGAAAAGGGAGAGATTTCGAGAATGGATGAGTTCAGATTTGAACCTGCTGAGTTAAAAGTGCCTCAAGCATCTCAGCCCAAGGAGAGAAGTCCAGCAGGCAGCTGGGTGGATGGATCCAATGTTCAAGGGAGTGGTCCGGGATGGAGATACGGATCTGAAACTCACCAGCCTGTAAAAAGTACTAGAAACCAGGAGATAACTTGACACCTTCCAGTGAGAGTTTATGGAGTGATGAGAAAAATGGGATCGATTGAGGACATCTGAAGGAAGAGGATAATGACAGAACAAGAATATCCTAATCAAGAAGACAGTGGCACAGGGGAGTCAGGGAGATGCAGAGTGTCTGGAGGAAGTAGCAAAAAAATGTACTGACAAGGGGCCAGAAAAAAAATGCCTTAAGACATGGCCTTAGCAGGGCAGCTCTAACCACATGGTTCAGACTGGAATGGAGAAGTTGGAAGAGGGAAGGAGGAACTGATTGTTTTGTGGGCCCAGGTGAATTTTGGAATCCTGTATTTGTGGTGGTTATAAGTTCCACATTTAGGGGATTTGTCTCCAAATGCACTAGGAGTAGAGAAGGTGGCTTGTAGCACCTTTTCTTTGCCCAGGTTGGGGTTTTGCTGGAAAGTGTTACCAATGCCAGGACCCCTGTGCTCCCTGCCTTCAGTAGCCTTGGCTCCTTCAGGAGTCCCAGAGAAACACAGAACAGCAATGACAACTTGTTCTGCAAAAGCTTCGACTCCCTTATTAATGCCACAATACCATGCCATAGAAGCCAGGTCCAAGCCTGACATTTCCAAGTCCAAGATCTATGGCTTCGTCTCCGTTCCATACCTTCCAATCTCTAGGGTAGCCCACACATTAGGAGGGATTGGAGGAGAGGTGATTCTGACACTTATTTGGTCTGTCCTTTGGTATTATTCCATGATTCAGCATCACCAAACTGGCCCTTCCCATACTCCTCAACACTGAGTATCTGAAGGTGGGTAGAGCATATGCACCAAAAATAGGAAAACACCCATCCCCCACTTCCTTATTTATTCCCTTGCTCTAACTAGCCCCAAGTGGAGTGGCATCCAGACAGAAACAGAAGTGTTCTAAGATTAGCTAAGAACACAAGGTACAACTGGAAATCTATTGTGCAAACAGTGCCTGTTTGATTTCTCTCACTTCCCTTTGGGTGTTAAGCTCCCTTCTGATTAGTGTTTGGTTTCTGGTAATAAATATGGCACCAGCTTCACTGGTTTATCGAGAGGTGCATTCTTCCGCTATTTTCTGTGGTAAATCACTTATCTTACCTACGCCCAACAAGACCAATGTATACCTGGGAGATTAACCCCAGTCCTATCTGGGCACCAATCATGGAGAGCCACGTGGGTAGGAAACTTCAATAAAAGTATGGTACACAGCAGGCTTTCCCACAGCTGACCAGAAGAGGACAGCTCTGTGTTCTTATCCCAAGGTAAGGACTATTGCAAGCCCCAGCAGGCTTTTCTTCCAATCTTGGGGGCTCCCCCACCGCCCTTGACCCACTGGGATGTGCTAGGGTTGTTTGTTTCTGGAAACTTTCAGAACTTTCAGCCCGGTCAAGTGCTCCAGATGTCACTCTGTGTCCAGCTCAACCATGATTCCAGCCACCTGCTGGCTACTCCAGGTCTAAAGATGCCCCTTCACCCTGTCCCTCCTCCAGGAACATAGGCACCTACTTGGGATCTCATCCCTAAGAATTACCAGCCCTGGGTGCTCTCTCCTAACATATTCATGGTATCCCCTCCAGAAACAGATGTCTAGCTTGAGTCTTCCAGAGGCTTTAAGAAGTCATCAAAGATTTGCCCGTTGGAGGGAAGTTTCCCAGAAGAGGGACTGTTACTAATTTGAGTGTTGGCAGGCTCTTCACAGCTCTTTGTTTCTGCCCTCTGCATCCCCATTTACTTATTCATTATTGCTCAGACCTTTATTGAGCACCCCTTGTGTGCCAGACACCATGCTAGGAGCAAGCAACGGGGGCACTGTCTGACATGGTCCCACACTCACAGGAAATCTGTATGCATCTAGGATACTTCAGGAGTCTTTTAGGACAGTGCCCAATACACCAGAACTAAGAAAGCAGCTGTTACTTTTGTCTGTAGATATTCATAGCACTGTAACTTTCCCTCTATCCAGTCTCCCAGAGCCTATACCCCTACCTGAGTCGAAACCAACCTGAGGGATTCTAGGACGTCCTGCAGTGCCAGCCAGCTCTAAGCTTACCTTTGGTTTTCTTGCTGTCAATCTCATCCCCTTGGCAAGCCTCCTACCCTCATTACCCCACCTCCTCTCTGCAAGTCACACCTGCTTTAAAACAATACAGCCCTTCACGAAAGAAGTCATGGGTCCATTTCTGCAAACATGGGCCTGTGGCCGTAAGCAAGCTATTTAACTTCCAGCATAGTGCCTGCATGTTGGAGGAGCTCAGTCAATATTTCTGGGATTAATATGCTCTGAGTCCCATCTCCCTCTTTATCTGTAAATGGGAGCAAGAATAGTACCTTCCCTGGAGGGGGGTTCAGAGCCTTAAATGAGCTAACGTATCCGAGGGGCTGAGTACAAGTCATGGTGCTGAACTGATGTGAATTCCCTTCTTAAGCTTATCCCCAGAGGAATGACCTCTGTCACCCTCATTGTATCTGAGTCTCTCCCTTCCCCTAGCTGCATGGAGAGTCTGCATGCTGCTGAATGACCGGCACGTCTCAGCTTATGGAAAGGATGGGCTCTTATGTCTTGTGGCTGGCCTTGGCCTCCTGCATTCTGACCCTGGCATCTACAGAACAGCAAGGTATGTGCTCTGCTTACCTGCCATCTCATATGCCCCGTAATACCTGGGGAGAGGGGGAGCGCAGAGAAGGCAGTTCAGGGTCAGTGAGGGGAACAGGGACATGTCTAAAGCTAAGACTTAGCAGCTAGAAGTCAAGGGGTGGAAGATGAGGGAAACTACAGCCATAAACTCTCAAAGAGCCAAATCGGAAATACCCCCTGCAAGGACCATGGCGTCGGTTAACGTAACTTCCCATGCCCAGAATATGTGCAGCTCAGAGAGCCCAGATTCATGGGGACATGAATCACCTAGTCACTCTGTGCCCTCGCTTTGGCAAGCACCTTCTCCTTCATCTGAAGGTTTGCTCATATGTAAAAAGAAAGGACTAGAGGTACTGATCTCTCGGTGATCATTTCAAAGATCTGCAGACTGGGCATCTTAGATGCTTGTAGGAAGGGTCCTCAGGCTTAACACCAGGCTGAAATTTCTGCCTGTGTCACCTGTGGAGGGGGCTGTGGGGAGGGGAAGGAGGGACTCAGCTCATGGCCTCCCTTGGGAAAACACAGTGTGTGTGCGGGAAATAATCCAAGAACAACAAGTACAGTGACTCCTTTCCTTAAAATAAGTACATACGTAAGCAAGGCTTGAAAATCTCTTTTTCAAAAAAGTCCCTCTAACGTGTATTACAAGAATGTGATCCTGTGTGTGTACCTGGTCCATAATTCAGGCGTTCACATTGTTCAATAAATCAGAACTGTAGAAGAGAACCAGCATGAACTCCTACTAGGTCTCAGGGGCTGTGTTTGGCATTTTATACTTATTATCTCATTTAATCCTCTAGCAATGCTTTAGGGCTTTATTTCTCTAAAACGGGGGATACATCCTGAGAGGAGTACAGTGGTTCATGGCAAACACTTAAAGAATTTTTTAATGGCTATGTATATTTTTTCATGTGTATCAGAAATGTGTAACTAAAAGGGGAACCCTCCTACACTGTTGGTGGGAATGCAAGCTGGTGCAGCCACTCTGGAAAACAATACGGAGGTTCCTCAAAAGGTTGAAAATAGAGCTACCCTATGACCCAGCAATTGCACTACTGGGTATTTACCCCGAAGATACAAATGTAGTGATCCAAAGGGATCATGCATTATCAAACATGCACCAATGTTTTTAGCAGCAATGTCCACAATAGCCAAACTATGGAAAGAGTCTAGATGTCCATCAACAGATGAATGGATAAAGGTGATACACACACACACACACACACACACACACACAGACAATGGAATATTATGTAGCCATCAAAAAATGAAATCTTGCCATTTGCAATGATGTGGATGGAACTACAGGGTATTATGCTGAGCTAAATAAGTCAATCAGAGAAAGACAATTATCATATGATCTCACTGATATGTGGAATTTGAGAAACAAGGCAGAGGATCATAGGGGAAGGGAGGGAAAAATGAAACAGGATGAAACCGGAGAGGAAGACAAACCATAAGAGACTCTTAATCTCAGGAAACAAACTGAGGGTTGCTGGAGTGGAGGGGGGTGGGAGGGATGGGGTGGCTGAGTGATGGACACTGGGGAGGGTATATGCTATGGTGAGAACTGTGAATTGTGTAAGACTGATGAATCACAGACCTGTACCCCTGAAACAAAAATATATTATATGTTAATTAAAAAAAAAGAAATGTGTAACTAGTATATCATACCTATGGTATCACAGATATTATTCCTTAAGATGAAACAAATTTATAGAGAGTCATTGAAAGAAACATATTAAGTAGATAATTGGACAGGGGGACACAGATGTGGCCAACATTGTGACTTGAGGCTTAGGAATGGAGGGAGTTTGGGAACCACTAACTTGCAGGTGTTGTTTCGCAGATGAGTCTCAGGGGAGTCAAACCACCTGTCAAGGTCATCCTTGATGACCTAAATCCAGCAGGTGTGGAGCTGGATTTAAACCCAGACTGACCAATCCACCCCTTCACTTCTCAGCCTCCTCATAGATCATAGTTCCTGAATCTGTTAAAAACCATGAGATTGGGGTGCCTGGGTGGCTCAGTTAGTTAAGTGTCTGTCTTTGGCTCTGGTCATGATCCCAGGATCCTGAGACAGAACCCCACATCGGGCTCCCTGCTCAGTGGGGAATCTGCTTCTCCCTCTCCCTCTACCCCTCCCCCCAACTCCTACGCTCTCACTCTCACTCAAATAAATAAATGAAATCTTAAAAACAAAAACAAAAAACATGATATCAAGGGCTCCTGGGTGGCTCAGTCAGTTAAGAGGCCAACTCTTGATTTCGGCTCAGGTCATGCTTTCAGGGTGGTGGGATCGAGCCTTGCATGGGGCTCTGCACTCAGCAGGGAGTCTGCTTGAGATTCTCTCCCTTCCCCTCTCCCTCTGTCCCTCTCTTCTCCTCTCTCTCTCTCAAAAATAAATAAATCTAAAAAAAAAAAGCCCCATGAGATGAGCAAAATCAGAAATGGTTCTGTTAGAGCAGTGGTTCTCCACTGGGGGTGATTTGGGCAATGCTTGGAGATAACTTCCAGGAGGAAGGAACTACGGGAATCTAATGAGAAGGGCCCAGGAAAGCTGCTAAATATCCTGCAATGCACGGGACAGCCACCCACAACACAGAATTATCCAGCCCCAAACATCAGTAGGGCTCAGGTTGAGAAATCTTGTGTTAGATCTATATCTATTAATAAGGGGTAATGTCTATGATGTATTAAGTAAAATATGTAAGTGGGAAAAAAAAGTTGTACAGCCATTAAACCCATTTTTAAAAATCCCTGTATTTTAAACATATGCATAGAAAGAGTCTGAAGACTATACAGCAAATTTGTGGTTACTTCTAGGGATGGAATGGGCTTATGACAACTTTCATTTCTACTTTATTCATTTTAATGACCTTTGAGGTTTTTCCAGTGAGCCTGTATTATATTTATAATACATTGGTCAGACAGGACCACAGTGTATGGTTACAGAGGGGAGCACTGCACAACTCAAGAGCCAGAGAGAGTGCACTGAGTTCAATGTGAAGGATGCCCTTGGAATTGTGCAGGGTGGAGACCTCGGTGTTCTTTTTTTTAAAAAGATTTATTTATTTATTCATTTAATTGACAGAGAGAGAGAGACAGCAAGAGAGGGAATACAAGCAGGGGGAGTGGGAAAGGGAGAAGCAGGCTTCCCGCTGAGCAGGGAGCCCGATGTGGGGCTCGATCCCAGGACCCTGGGATCATGACCTGAGCCGAAGGCAGACGCTTAACGACTGAGCCACCCAGGCACCCCGCCCTTGGTGTTCTTAATGCCTATAAAATATCACACACAAAGTCCTCATTATTATTCTGACCCTCAGGTGATGAAGGCTGACATGTAATGAATGGGTTGTGTGCCTCATTTCTTCATTGGGGTCCTTAAGCACCTTCAAAATTCAAAACAGAGTGTGCGGGGGGCATCTGGGTGGCTCAGTGGCTTAAGCATCCAACTCTTGATTTCCGCTCAGGTCATGACCCAAGTCGTGAGATCAAGCCCCATGCTGGGCTCTGCACTGAGTATGGAGCCTGATTGAGATTCTCTCTCTCTCTCTCTCTGCCTGCCCCCTCCCACTCTAAAACAAAACAAAATGAGAGTGTGTGTGTATGTGTGGAGGGGGATGGTTAAAATCCTGCGGGCTCTGAGGATGCTCAGTAAACCCAAGCACACTGTTGCTTTCCAGATGACAGAAACTCCACCCTCATTCGTTCCTATGACCCCTGCCAGAATTACACCCGCCTGGATGAACCCTCACGGAGTATGGAGTACACAGGACAGGGCCAGCTGTGTGACAGGGACAAGAATGGCTGGTACCGCTTTGTTGGAGACGGAGGAGTGAGGTTGCCAGAGACCTGTGTCCCAATGTACCGATGCCAGACAGATGCCCCTATGTGGCTGAATGGGACTCACCCCACCCTGGAGGAGGGCATTGTCACCCGCACCGCTTGTGCCCACTGGAGCGGCAACTGCTGTCTCTGGAAGAGCAAGGTGCAGGTGAAGGCCTGCCCGGGCGAGTTCCATGTGTACCAGCTGCAGGGCACCCCCAAGTGTAGTCTGAGGTACTGCACAGGTGAGCGGCAGAGAGCCGGGGATGGCTGGGGGGTGGGGCCCCCTGGTGAGGAGCCCAGGCATCAGCAGTGAGTGAGGCAGATCGGGAGACTAAGCGGAACGGCCTGGACTCAGCTTCCGCGTGTTATTGCCCAGTGGGGATGTCACCCAAGGTTGCCGGGCCTTCCAACATTTCAAGGAAAGCCAGAAATTCAGAGTTGAGGGCAAAATCTCCTGATATAAATATATATCTCCATATGTGTAGCATGATATGAAGAACACAAGCTCATTCAGATTTAGATCCCACTTGGGCAGTTTAATTTACCTCTCTGAGCTTTAGTTTTCTGATCTGAAAAAATGGATGATGGCAAAAGTCACAGTCAATGCATAGTGTCCCTGCTCCAATCCAAAGTGCTTTAGACTAGGAACTCATTTAATGCTCTCACCAGCCTCATGAGATACAGGTACTATATAACTACACCTGATGAGAGGTCTGGGGCACAGAGAGGTTAAGCAGCTGTCCCAATGCCACAGAGCAGGAACATGACAGAGCTGGGATTTGAATCCAGACATTCTAGTTCCATGATCTATATACCTAACCATTATGCTACCCAGTTTCATACACTTACCATGAGAACTGAATGAGCTAATTTGTGGAAAGTCCTCAAACAGTGCCTGCCACGTAGTAAGCGTTAGGATGGCAGCCTCTGGGTTCTCACTTCACTGGACTGGGAGTCAGAAAATCTGAGTTTGAGGCTTGACCCTTCCACTATGTATCGCACACCCGTGGGCAGGACTTCCGGGCCCCGGTAGAATGACAGAGTTGGCCTTGGTGGCCTCAGATCGCTTTGTTCTGCATTCTAATCCCCTTCCTCTGTGCCTCACCCTGGAGACCCCTACACTGTGAAGAACGAGTGTGAGAACGCCTGCCGCCCGGAGGAGGAGTGCAGCTTTCTCAATGGCACCTGGGACTGTTACTGCAGACAGGACCTCAACAGCTCTGGTGAGTGGCTCAGCAGGTCTGGGCAGTGGGAACGATGCTGGTCCGAGCAGGCAAGGCAGCAAGGAGGGAGTTGCAGAGGGTCAGGACAAGGTGTGGACCAGAGTCAGTGGGGATGGAACTGAGGTCACGGAAAAGGTTCTCAAAAGCCATCTGCAAGGATGGGAGAGCAGGGATGGAACAAACTGCCAGGTCAGTCTTTGGATCGCAGCCTCAGGAAGCAGCTCTGGCATGGGTGAGCTTGGCCCATGAGGGACAAAGGTACTAAGGACAAGAACTCTGCAAATGTGGGAGCTGCATTCAAATATCTGCAGAGTCTACATGGGAGGACATGTACAGACTCCTATGCCAGTCTTGAATTTGCGACGTAGTAGCTCTCTGGGGCCTGGGACAAGGCACCTAGACTTTCTGAGCCTTGATGTCCTCATCTGTAAAATGGGACTAAGATAATAGTAAAAATAAGCACCATACAGGGCAAGCAGTCCAAATGGGCAGGCTTTTAAGGTGATAAGGTTCTTGTCCCAGGAGGTAAACAAGCAGAGGCACATGACTCATGGGTACAGATGCCATAAACAAGCCCTAAGCCCTGGATGGGGGTTGAATGAATTTCCCAACGAGATTATTTCCTTCCCTACTAGAATTCTAATTAGGGCCTTTGACTCTTGCCCTTGGTATAAGCATGCCTTCCTCTGAGCACACTCCCAGTCCCTGTGGAAAAGAAAGTGTTCTAGACAGTGGGGCAAGAACAAGCATGTGTTTGGAGAACTGGGCTGCAGTGTGGACCAAGTGGTGCTTGGGTGTGCCTAGCAGGAGCGGGGTAGGGATGAGGGGCAGGACTGGAAGGAAACAACCCTGCTCTCCATGAAGGCTCTTTCCGCTCATTGGGTGGACAAGCCCCCAGAGGCTCAGGGTTGTCTCCCAGGATTTGGGCCATCACAGAATCAGATGTTGGATTTCAAGGATGTTCTTCCTGTACCTGGAGACTCCAAGGGCATCCTTGGCAGGTCCTCTCTGATTGGGTGGGCGGGTGGCCTGCCTCGAGTCTTCATGACTGAGTGGCTACTCAGCAAGTCCCCATTGCTTCCAGGCACAACCCAATTGTGATCTGGCTTTTGCTTACTTCTCCATCTCTCACACTCCACCCCCACCCATTCTAAGTTCCTGTACCTCTGAGCTCCGCATCTCTGTAAACACACCATCCTCTCTCCCATCACCACACTTTTGCCTCTGCTGTTCCCTTAGCCAGGGGTGCCCCTCACTTGCCCTATGCACCTGCAAAACTCCTACTCCCGACCAAGTTCCAGCCCTCGGTGAATCCTTCCCTGACGTAACTGACAGATTCAGATATACCTTCTTGTGTTTCCCTCTGCACCTAGAACTTGGTTAGTACTTTCATCATACTGCACCTTAATAAGCTGTTGACATGCTGATTCTGACACAAGACCAAGCAATCCTCATGGGCTGGGTCCATGTTTTCTTTATTTTTGTGTTGAGTGTGCCTCGCACATGGAGAAGGTGGTTAGTAAATGTATTTGAATCAATGCATTCATGAATACAATCAAAATGGTATTTCTTTTCATTTACTATCTACCCCCTTATCAGAATGTTAGCTCCATAAATAAGGGTGGGGATTTTGTCAGTTTTGACAAACACTGTATCCCCAGTACCTAGAACAGTGCAGACAGTAAATGCCCAAGATGCATTTGATGAATAAATGCTGAATGAATGAATGGAATGAATCAGTGAATGAACGAATGAATGAAAGAAACGAGCAATGGCTTTGAACCTGGTCAGATGTGCTGGCTTCACAAAGCGAGGGAGTAGGAGTAGTATATGTCTACCCTTGATTCTAATCTGGAATGCAGGACAGTCCTGCTTCTCTAGAGACCCCGATCCCCAGAGACCCTGATCCCCAATCCCCAAGACATGAAAGCCCTCCCTATACCTGCACATAGGATGCTTAGAAATCTTGGACCAGGGGCTTTTTTGCCAACCTCACCCACTACAAGCCTAGGTGCGAATCCCACCTAGGTCTCAGGCCCCTATTAGTCTACCCAACTCCCCAGTGGGTATGATGGCTTTTCCAAAGGGCAGGGAATGTGGGCTCTGCCCACTGCTTCCAGAGCCCTGTCCACTCCACCTATCCCCTTCTCAACTTTTCAGATGTACACAGTTTGCAGCCTCAGCTGAACTGTGGAGATAAGGAGATCAGGGTGTCACTGGACAAGTGTCAGCTGGGAGGCCTGGGTTTTGGGGACAAGGTCATCGCCTACCTGCGAGACTGGAACTGCAACAGCATCACGCAAAGAGAGGAGAGAAACTGGATATCCGTGACTAGCCCTACTGAGGCTAGGGCCTGTGGAAACATTCTGGAGGTGAATTGTGTTTATACCACTGCTGCCAGAGGGTGGGAGTTGGGCTGTGGAGCTATCTCAGTAGCTATGAGACCTTAGACAAGTCACTTAGCCTCTCTGGGCCTCTAGTAATATGTGAGATTACACATGTTGGTTCACATAAAGAGCTTAGAACAGGTTTGCTGCTTGAGCTCAATAAATGTAAGCTATGATAATGATTACTTTAATTCGGGGTGATGTGGGAGGGGTCGACATGGGAGCAAGCATGGTGGTTGCTGACTGTCCCCAAGGGCCAAAAATTATTGTTCTAGTTTTTGATCTGGGATTCTCACTCCCCTTCCCATAAGGCATTAGAGCCACTAAAGGGAAGAGGCCCACATGCTTCCTGGAGATCAGAAGGCAGGGGGGCAGCATGATGGAGAGCATCAACCTTGCAGTCAGGCAGGCCTGAGTTCTAGATATACCTGCACACACATAAACATATATGTGGTCTTGTTTTTATGCCAAAGAGAAATGGAACCCATGCCATCTACAAAAACACCCTCTCCGTGGCCAATGAGTTCATCATCAGAGACACCATCCTCAACATCAATTTCCGGTGTGCCTACCCACTGGACATGAAAGTCAGCCTCCAAACTGCCCTGCAGCCCATTGTAAGGTAGAGCACTGACCCCTGCCCTTTGATCGATAACCCTGACACTGATCACATTCACTTCAGGCAAAGCTTAAGATGTCCTCAGATTGCTGCCTACGTCCTACAGGAGCGCTCACTCTTTCCATCATTCATTCTGCAAATATTTGTTGATCATAGATTAATGTTCAGCATGCACAAGGCAGACACAGACTATTTTGTGGCCATTAAAGATTATTATTAAGAAGCAATGCAGCAACATGAAATAACGTTAATTAAATATGCTAAGGAACAAAAACACACCATGGTTTCATTTATCTTGAGGAAGACAGGAATTGAGCAACTAATTATACCAATCATTATTTACAAGCGAGATGAGTGCAATGTGGGAGAAGCACAGGGTGCTGTGGGATCAGGGAACACGGGTCCCTGATCTAACCTTCGTGGGTGGGGGGATGGTGGGAGCAGGAAGGCTTCCCCGCAGATGTGGGATTTAAGCCAGGATCAGCTTTGATTGGATAACAGCACCCTCAATTCACTAGAAGTAGAACGAAGTAGCAATTTGGGTGGGGATCCATTTGAAAGAGGCTTTCATCTATTTTGGTCACTACTGTCTCCCTGTGGAATGGATTCCTCAGCATTTAGATACCAATGGACTTGCTGGGGGATTTTCCGAGGGTGTCAGAACTCCATGGTGCCCTTTCCATCCCCTCATTGCCTCCTGGGCTCACAGAGTAGCATAATTAGGACTAGTAATTTTCTAGTTCAGTGGTTTTCAGACAGTATTGTGCTGGGGCCCCAAGTTTCATAGTAAATAAAAATTAAAGCCATTCCTCTTTTAAAATGGATGTTTCACTGGATGATTCCCTGGTGGAGGGAGGAGAACTGCTGCTAAAAACGGTGAACCCACAGGACTGATCCCATTGTACACGGGGGAAGACAGAGGTGTGCACTTGCAGTTATTCTGTGAGTGAAGGAGATATGAGTAATCTGTGATGCAGGGAGAATGGGTGGAGATCCCAGAGACACACTCGTCTGCTTGTCAAGTTTAGCGCCTAGCAGATACTAAATGCTTGATTTAAATGGGTGATTGAATAGTTCCTTTAGGAACCAAAGATGTGCCTTCACCTTCATAGCCTCACACAAGCGCAGGGCTGGATTTATTTTGTTCTCACTGGTGGAAACCTAACGTTTCCACTCTTACGGCTTTCCTCTTCTCAGTTCTCTGAACATCAGTGTGGACGGGGATGGAGAGTTCACTGTCAGGATGGCCCTGTTCCAAGACCAGAACTATACATCTCCTTACGAAGGGGCCATAGCTGTTCTGACTGTTGAATCCATGCTCTATGTGGGAGCCATCTTGGAGAGAGGGGACACCTCCCGGTTTAACCTGTTGTTGAGGAACTGCTATGCCACGCCTACCAAAGACAAGACTGACCCTGTGAAATATTTCATCATCAGAAACGGGTAACGGGCAACTCTGGGTTATCTTTTGGCCTGAAAAGGATTTTGGGGGGAGAAAGATCACCAAGGCCCTGCCTGGCAGTTGTATAAACTGGCTTACCTCTTCTGGAAAATAATTTGGCATTACATATCATGACCATACTTTTGACCCAGGAATATTACTCCTGACGTTTTAGCCTAAAGCATTAATACAAAATAGGTCAGCGAGATAAAGAAATACCAATTATTTTTCATTTCAGTATCCTTTATAACTTTGGAAATAGGTTCACAGTTCAAAAATAGAGATCCGTTAAGTAATGATGGGCTATTATACAGATACTAACACTGACTAATCAACATGAAAATGGCATGACAAGTGTTATGGGACAAAATATCATTGAAATTGCTAACTGGCAAAAACAAAGGGAAAAGGCATATCCATAGATCATGATTCAAACCATGGTAAGTAACAATATTAGCTAATATTCATCACTGATATTAGTTATGTGCCATGCACTGTGTCACTAAATGCTCACATCAACCCCAGGAGGTACGGATTACTGTCTCCGCACTACAGACAAGAAAAGTGAGGCTCAGACAGGTTAAGTCATCTGCTAATGATATTTAGCTAGAAAGTGGTTCTGGCTGGAATCTGAAGCAGTCTATTTCACCTCAGAGGCTGTACCCCACAAAACTGAAACCACATGGGCTGATGAATAAATGTCTTAGAGGGGGTGCCTGGGTGGCTCAGTTGGTTAAGCATCTGCCTTTGGCTCAGGTCACGATCTCAGGGTCCTGGGATCGAGCCCCACATCGGGCTCTGGGCGCAGTGGGAAGTCTGCTTCTCCTTCTCCCTCTGCCCCTCCTCACCCCACATGCTCTCTCTCTGTCTCAAAAAAATAAACCTCTTGGAGGAAACCCGGAGGAATAAAAGTCTATGTCAGGATGGAGGGAATCAGGGAACTCTTTAATTCTCTGTGATGATGTTTTTATACTGGATACAGATTAAAGATACAGCCAAGGGCCTCAGGTCCCTTGAGCTGTTCTAAAAGTTAGACCCTTGCCCCTGTCACCCTCCCAGCTGCCCAAATCAATATGATTCCACCATCCGTGTGGAGGAGAATGGGGTGTCCTCAGAAAGCCGGTTCTCAGTTCAGATGTTCATGTTTGCTGGAAATTATGACCTAGTTTTCCTGCATTGTGAGATTCATCTCTGCGATTCCCTTAATGAACAGTGCCAGCCGGTGAGTAACTCTTTAGAGTGAACTATTCAGAGTTTCCTATGGGGCCTGGTACCTGGTAGTCTCACCATATATATTTATTGGAATTATGGATGAATGGAAAGGAGGGAGGGAGGGGAAGAAAGAAAGAGGAGAAGAAAGAAAAAAGGATGAATGGACGGACATTCACTCTCCAAAAAGCCCATGTGTATATAATTATATACAGGAAGCAGATTAGACAAAGGAGCCTGCCCACTAAGTTTCCTTAGCACAAGACATATTTTGAATGATTTCGTAATAGTTGACTTTTTAAGTGCTTATTCCATGTCAGGAATTGCACTCAAACTTTCATATGCCTTATCTAATTAAATTCTCACAACAACCCTTGAAGTAGATTCTTTTATTGACCTCATGGTACAGATGAGGACACTGAGCTTCAGAGAGGTCTTCTGCCCAAGGGCAACACAGCTAGAAAACATCAGAGCTGGGAGGTAACTCCCGTGTCCATGCTCTTAACCCCTGTTTGGTACTGCCTGCTAGTAGTTGGCATTTGTTGAGTGCTGACTATGTGCCTGGGTATTACAGACACATTCATTTTAACCTTTACAACCAAGAAGGTATTACTTAATAGTAATAGAGAGGTGAAGCCATTAGTCCCAAATTAGACAGCTAGAAGAGAGTGGAGATGAGATTCAAACCCATGTTTGTTTGACTTGACAGAAAGAATTTTCTAGACTGAGAAAACCACAGCCTCAGAGTCAGGGCCACATGATGGGTGGGGTCCCATTCTTGGGCCAGACTCTTGTCCCATTGCAGGGACAGCCTGGATAGGAACTGTGACTTTAAATTTTGATATGAGATTTCTCCATCCCCACAGTCTTGCTCAAGAAGTCAACTCCGCAGTGAAGTAGTGGCTATCAATCCAGCCCAGGTTCTAGATTTGGGACCCATCACTCGGAGAGGTGAGTGGCTAACTTCTGGTGAGAAGGCCAGCTGGTCAAGTTCTGACAGTTAACCACAGACGCCTGGGGTCACCACCCTCTCAACCTAAAGCCTTTTCTGCCTCCTCACTGCAGCCCCCACCAGTGAATCTACCTTTCCATGAGGTGCTTTGGGTAATAATAATAGCACTTGCCATTTGTGCTGAGCCTCCTATGTGCTAGAGACCAGGCTAAGCTTTCAGTATCCATCAAATCCCTTCATTCTCCTGACTAAGTCTGTTTTACAGGCAAGAAACTGAAGTTTGGAGAGATTAAGTGGCTCACCCCAATCACTCAGCTCATGAGGAGCTGGAGTTAGAATTGAACCCAGCTCAGACTGATTCCACAGCATATGTCCTTTCCCTTATTCCTCCTGCCAGGTCCCCTTACCTCAGCCCCTTTTGGGTGAGGTCTAGGTTCTAACCCAACTTTGTTTTCTGGTGAATGACTGTTTTTCAAAATCCAGTTATAATATTCTGGGGCATGATGTAGGGGAAGCTTTCTAACTGTCCCACAAATGCTTACCCATCCTACCCATGGGTTAGCACTACTGTGGTGGTTTTTATTCCTGCTGGAATGGAGGAGTCAAAAAACCCAGAAGAATGAAAGCAATTTTTTTTTTGTCCTAAAGAAATTAGGACGCAGTAATGCTAGTAACAACAGCAATGAGAGTAATAGTAATAACCCATGTGGCTGGCACCATACAAAACATTTATATGCATCATCACATGGAAGGCTCACAACAGCCTAAGGAGGTAAGCACTATTTCCACTTCCATTCTCCAGGTGAGTAAACTGAGGCTGTCTTGTAAAAAAGGCTTTGCCCTGAGTTGTCCTGCCTCTTTACTGAGCCCTCAACTTGAAGCTTCATGTGGTATCACAGAATAGTTGGAGGGTTAGGAACTTTCATTTTGGAATCAGAGAGATGGAGGTTCAAATCCCAGCTTTACTACCTACAACAAGGTCAACTTAGCCTTGGTCAACTGAGCCTCAGTCTTCTCATCCGTTGAATGGGGACACAAATATTTTCCTCATAAATCTGCTGGAAGAACTAAGTTTCAAATGCATGAAATGGGCTTAGAAATGGAACTGCTAAATAAAAGACACCTCAACAGTGTGGGTGGCCAGGTCCAGGAGGACTTGGAGCAGCTATGGCCACAGTGCCAGTTACAGGCACATGACTGAGGAAACCTTCACCTCTGCTCTTGTCCCCAGGCACTCCATCTCTTGGCGTCGCGAACGGAACCCCCAGCTCTGCAGGTACATCATTATCTCCTGCCTATCCCGCTGCCCTCCCTCCCAACCCTCTCTTCTTCCTCTTTTCAATTCAGTGCACATTGATTTAGCCTGTGCTGGTGACTGTGGACACTGAAATGAATCAGTCCCAAGTGTGGTTCTTGAGATGCTCATAGTCTAGCGCAGGGGCCAGTCATTTAACAATAAATACTTATTGGGTGCCTACCATGTGCCAGGCATCATTTTAGATGCTGCAGATATAATAGTGAACAGGATACACCAGGTGCCTGCCCTCATGGAGCTTATGTTACAGTGTGGGAAACAGGCAATAAAAAGTTAACAAGATAATTTAGAAAGAAAAGAGGGTGATATGATAGAAAGTTACCAACATGGGTAATAACATCTCACATGTAAATGAAGTCCAGAGGCAAGCAATCCAGGGCTCCTGGGGTGGCACCACAAGGTCATCAAGAATCAAGTTCTTTTAAGCTCTCCCCGTCCACGTTCTTCATCCTCACGGTCCAAGATGGCAGCCAGAGCTCCAATCTTCATATCTAGTCAGCAGGATGGAAGGAATATGGAAAAAGTCACAGAGTGTTAAGGAACATTCCTGGAAGCTGACACCTTATACTTCCACTTACATCTCATTGGCCAAAGCTTAGTCACACCTGGCTGCAAAGGAAGCTGGGAAATATAATCTTTATTCTGGGTGGCCATGTCCTGAACCAATGTTTGATGGTTCTATTTATAAGGCAAGAAGGAAAAATAAATATCAGAATGGGTAAATGGCCAGAAAAATGTTCAGAGGAGGTGATATTTGAATGCAATGAGAAAAAGGAACCAGGTTTGCAAATAATAAAGGAACAAGCCCTATAGGCAGAATGAACAATTGCAAAAATGAGACAGTCATATAAGCAAATAAATCATAAGCAAGTAGATAGTGTGGCAGGAGCACATAGAAGAGTAATTAACTGTACTGGATAAGGGCAGGCAAGAATTTCAGCAGATGGCAACATCTGAATGGGGTTTTGGTGGGTGACCTGGAGTTTAACAGGGAGACCAATCCAAGAAATGTATTTTGGACCAAAGGGAAAGCAATGCTACTAAGATTTTACTGCCCCCTCTTCCCAATACAGAGATGACCTATATTGGTGAAGGCACACATGAAAAAGTTCTTTCCATCCTTAATTCTCCAGTTAGAGAACAGCCTAAAAGTTTCCAAATAAGGTCAAGATGGCCTCTCCACACTTAGTGCTAATATTCAGACAACACTCAGAAAAGTAGCGCTCATCAGAGAGAGGGGTCAGAGCTCAGACTAGAAGGAGCTTGAGAGCAGACCTCACGTCTCGTTCACTTCTCCCAATATTTCAGGTTAGCGCAGTGCCTGCAGCAGCCTGGTTTCCCAGTAGAGTTTGCCAAACTGACTAATTTCTAGAGTTGGCAGTGGATTCTGGAGCCTTCTGGAAGAAAAGAGGAGCAATCTTATGTGGAATGAGACCACCACAAGAGGGCACTTATGGTGTTCATTGTTTGCTATCTCCCAGAAACATGTTTGACGTTTTAAAATTAACTGAACATCAGCCTGTGTTTCAAAAATACAAACTGGTTGTCATACACTAATATTTCAAAAAAATTATGATATTCTTCACTCCCTTCTGGGACATCAGCAAGTTACTTTGAAATTTGTGGGATGGAGAAAAGTTATAATCTTGTAGTACAGTCGGAGGGGGTACACATGCCTCCCCAAGGCCCCCAAATACAAGGCATCTATCACCCAGGATCCACACCCTTCATTAACACTGAGTATATGGTCATTTTCAGAGGAGATATGATCCCAACCCTCCCAGATCTTAGAGTCTAATATTCAAAACTGACACTTATATGGTGTTTATTATGTGCCAGGCACTGTTCTAAATGCTTGATATGAATTTACTCACTTAAGCCTTACAAAAGTCACATGAAGTAGTAACTGCTTGTGATATTTCAATTTTGCATACAGATAAACTCAGTCATGGTGAGATGGTGAGGCTCAGTAACTTGCCTGGGCCTGCACAACTAGTTGTAGAGCTATGATTCTTTTTTCTTTTTTTAAGATTTTATTTATTTATTTGACAGAGAGAGAGCGTGCACAAGTGAGGGGGAGAGGGAGAGGGAGAAGCAGACTCTCTGCTGAGCAGGGAGCCTGATGCAGGGCTCGATCCCAGGACCCTGAGATCATGACCTGAGCCAAAGGCAGACGCTTAACTGGCTGAGCCACCCAGGCACCCCTAGAGCTGGGATTCTAAGCTAAGAAGTCAGGCCTCAGAGGTTTTTTAACCTCTGTGTCTTTCTGCCTCTTTAGTATTAGCATAAGTAATGTTAGCTGCTATGACAAACAATCCTCAACTTTCTGTGCCTTTACACAATAGTTTATTTCCCACTAAATCACTGGGGGATGCAGTTCTGTGCTTTGCAGTCATTAGGAAGTCAGGCTCTTACCTTCTGGTAACTTCTGGCAACTCCACTGTCCCCGACAAGTCCTCTGCTGGATCCTTGGCATCTGGTCCCTGGATGGTGGATGAGAGAGTATGGAAAATTATGTAGGAGGTTTTAAGGACCAGGTCTAGAAATGGCATGTGTAATTTTTACCCATATTCCACTGGCCAGATTCAATCACGTGATCTCACCTACCTGCAAAGGAGGCTGGGGGAAAATTGCCTTCCAATGTGCCCAAAGGAATATGAAAAAGTGTTTGATGATTAGATAGCTTTGCCTCTACCACATGACCCCTTTGCCACTTCCCAGGGGCTGTAACCTAGAACAGATATTAAGGATACTTTGCCTTTCTTGTCCTTGTAAGGTAGAGGATAGAAAGGCTAGCTTGCTTTGGCTGTTGAGTTACAAAGCCCAACACTTGACAGGCATCTCTCTTATATTTCAGGGTTCCTGGTGGCCTGGCCCATGCTTCTGCTGCCTGTGCTCCTGGCTGGGTTGTTCTGAGAGCTCAGATGAGCAACTGGCCTTGAAGCTCATGTTCTTCCCTCTGGCAATGGCTTCCAGTCACCCATCGGCTATGCTGGTTCTCTCTCCAAATCACGTAGACAATCTTGGTGTTTATAGACTCTGGGCCAGGCTAGGTTTGGGGAAAGGGAAGATATTTCCCTTGTTCAACACTCTCTGTGACATACAGGCACATACAGGCATGCCTGTATGTCCCTCTTTTTCTCATGGTGGGGCCCTGTTGGCCTGGCCTGGCCTGACTTCCTCATTTATTAGCAGGATCTTGGAGCCAGAATTGCTCCGTGCCTCTGTGGCTCCAGCCTTGACCAAAAACGTATCATGTGTTAGTCTGTAACTCCAGGGAAGAGGGGCTGTGTCATTGCGCGGTGCAGGGGAGAAAGGGGATGAGCTTGTAAAAAAAGGCATCTCCCATGGTTCCTTCCCAAGTACCCCCCTGTTCTTACTGCTGATGAATTGAACAGACTGATCCTTGCTTTAACCTGTGTCCTCTGATGTATTTCCGTCATGGTCTCAATAGTGGCCATGGGAATAAGTTGTAAAGGGTCCACTTTTGGAGACTCTACTCCAGGGAAGACTGGTTCCCATTGCTCCCCTGTCCCCCACCATACCATAGACATGCTTTGATGTGCCTAGGAGTAGGCAAAAACCTACCCTAGGACCCAAATGCTGGAGGAACTGCTTGATTTGGATGCAGAGATGCTGTCACTCCAGAGTATACCTCTAGCTGTGAATAGTAGTGCACTTGCTCTGAAGTAAGCAAGAAGTCCCAGTGGAAAATGCTGTGTCGATCCTACCATGGGGATATAGCAGCAGGCCTGAGGGATGAGTGAAGTCCCTTTCTGGAAACCTCTGAGGGGCCCTCATAAAACACTCCACAAAGATGCCACAAATAGAGAATGCTTCCCCTTCCCATAGCTATACACAAGGCCCCTCCAAGTTGGCCTCAGGAAAAAACGATCAGATCAGGACCAGGCCACAGGAGAGTAGAGCCTGTTTATCTGCCAGGAGGAGACTTTCCAAAGTGCTCTCATGTTCAGAGATAGTGTGGTTGCAAGAAACAGAAACCCACTCTAATTAAATCAGGCAAAAGGAGAATTATCAGAATATAGGAGCAAAAAGTCCAAGAACAGAAGATACAACCTGGCCGTAAAGGAAAACCACCAGAAACCAAGGTTTGTCTGTCTTTCCATCTGTCGGTCTTCCTGAAACCACACAGCCTTTACATCTGCTTATCTTTGTGTGTCTTCTTTATTCCCCCCTGCACTGAAACTAGCTCTTCCTGTTCATTCATCATGCCTTAATTACATATGGACATTGAAGCTTCATCTCACTTGCTAATTCAGGGGCCACAGACCAACTAGCACTTGGTATCCTACATTCAAATTGTACAGGGGAGAATGTGATTTCCCTGTTTGGTCAGAATGCTTCCCTTGGTCTAAACATCTAAGGGCAGGTGAGTGGCCTCATCTAATGCAAACATAGCCAATGGGGCCAACCTGAGGAGGCAGGTCTCGAACACATGGCAGTGTTTCTTGGATAGACGCCCCAAAGGTCTACTCTAATAGTGACTTTTTATCTTTCTTTTTTATTTAAAAGATTTTATTTATTTATTTGACAGAGAAAGACACAGCGAGAGAGGGAACACAAGCAGGGGGAGTGGGAGAGGGAGAAGCGGGCCTCCCGCGGAGCAGGGAGCCTGACATGGGGCTCGATCCCAGGACCCTGGGATCACAACCTGAGCCGAAGGCAGATGCCCAATGACTGAGCCATCCAGGCGCCCCTAACAGTGACTTTTTAAAGAGAATTTCTTGGGAGGAATTGCTTCTTGTTTCCCAGTAAGTCAGGGGATTCAAAGTTATTACATTTCAAGGGAGGAGTACACTGGGAATGCACCTGAAAGACAAGTCAGGGGCCCTAACCTCTTCCCTTCTCTGAGGTTCATCTTCTCCCTCTTATAGAATAAAGGGGCTGGACTAGAACAAGATTCTCTAATATTTATAGTGGAACCCTTTCTTTAAATACAATTCTACATGAATACCCAATATGTAGACATTAAATACAAATAGACTCTTGTTGATGTCAGGTAGGGGGCTTAGCTCTCCCATCGGTGATTCCCTCATCCTCCAGCTCTCAAAGAAACTCCATGATAACCCATACGGTTACCAAGGGCAAAGTTCTGGAACTCCCTGGGACATATCACATCTGATATCTCTTCCAGTGTAAAGCACATGGGATTCTACTTAACCAGAGCCAACCCTGGCTGTCTAACTATGTATGTATGTATGTATCTATCTATCCATCCATCATCCATCTGTCACAAACTCTCCTACTTTACCTATCCCCCTTGCTCTCTCCACCTATCTACCTATATATTTATAATCTACCTAGCTAGTTACAGCTTTTTGTTTTCTGCAGATGGGCATACTAAATAACAATCTCTGAATGTCCAGTCCACTTTATTCATTTGGGCAACACTAATCTGCTGAGCAATTTTTACATCCCAGATCTAAGGGCCCAGGTACAATAATGAACGAAACACAGTCCCTGCCTTTAGAGGTTCACAATCTGGTGCAACACAAACACACACAAAGGCACTCGTGCGCAGGTCACATTCAAGTATGCATACCCCCTGACCCTCAGACACAGGAGTCATAAACACATACCAGCCTCATGTGCCCAAAGACAGAGATCCTCACCAGGGCCCTCAGGCCTAGTCCTGTATTTATTGCCATGAATAACTTAGTTAACAGCTAACATTTTTAGCCTGTCCTATGCACCAAGCATTATTCTAAGTGCATTATGGGCAATGCAACATTCCACCCTCCCCTTAGATATTGAAGGTAGGAACTACTATTATTCCCAGTTTAGAGATGAGTAACCAAGCCTTAAAAAAGGCAATTACTCACCTAAGGACCTATAGCTTTTATTTTTTTTTAATATCTTATTTATTTATTTGATAGAAAGAGACACAGCAAGAGAGGGAACACAAGCAGGGGGAGTGGGAGAGGGAGAAGCAGGCTTCCCGCGGAGCAGGGAGCCCGATGTGGGGCTCAATCCCAGGACCCTGGGATCATGACCTGAGCTGAAGGCAGACGCTTAACGACTGAGGACCTGTAGCTTTTAAATGATGAATTCAGGGCTTGGGCCTTGGTAGCCTGTATTTGGAGGATATGCTTTAATAGACACTGTATTCTGCCTCTGTTTATACACAAAGCCCCCCTATAGACAGGAGGCACTCATTTTCATACACGTGCCACCATCCACACATGCACCTGCTCGCATACAGGCACATGGGAACACATACATATGCAGTGACACGTGTGGACATACATTTGCCAGCACAGAGGCCCTCACACATACACAGGCACTGACATTCATGGATACACAGATGCTAGCATGCACGCTAATCTATGCATGCTCATTTAGATGCAGACACATATACCTTAGTACAGAAAAAAACACATTCTATGCTACACACACACGTAACACACACTCATAGATACAGAAACATATGCATACATACCTACAAGACACAGGACCTGGATCCCACTCCCCAAGGCCAGGACTCTGGCCATGTCTCCTCTCCCATTAGCTTTCCTCTCCTCCTTCCCCTAGTCCTGCCCAGATGGGCACTGGGACAAGAAGTCCAAACCAGGGGCCACAGTGAAAATACACTCGGGACCCAGCATCTGGGAGTTCTGGACTAAAAGGATGAAAGAGAAAATGAGAAAGGACCTGACCCACAATCAGGGAAACTGGCATCTCTCTTCTGGGGGGGCCCCTAGAAGCAGCAGGTGGAAGATGCAAGGAGGGTAGGCAGCGCTGCTCTCCAGGAGCTTAAGGTCTGCTTGGGAAACCAGGGCATACAAATTCTAGGCAGCCAAAGCTAAACAGTGTGAGATCAAGACAGACATTGCTGCAAGATGTGGAAAAGGGAGAAGTCCACTCTTCCCTCTGGAGGAGAGGGAAGGATCTGTCCCACGGAGTTTAGTCCCTTCACTTTCCAGATGGAAACGGAGATCCAGAAAAGACAAGTGGGATATTCATTCTTAATCCTATAAAGGATCCTCTAAGATGTGCTGTCACCAGGTGGGCATAAGATGGGGAGAAAGGGGACCCCTGAAAGCTGGTCATCTAAAAGAGATCTGGAATGGGGGTCCCAGAGGATAAGTTCCACCCAACCTAACTCATTTCATAATCTCTCCTCACCCCTTCTTCTTCTTCAAACTCTTCCTCCCAAAAAGGCTAGAAATCACCCTTTTGCTTTCCTTCCTCATCAAAGAAGATTCTCCTTTCTAAAACTTTACTAAATCCATCCGCTTTTCTTCAACCCCACCGACCCTGATCATCTCTAAACTAATGCCCTCTCTCACCTAACTGATGTAATAGCTTCCCAGGTGGGCTTTCTCCAGTCTCACCCCTCCCAATCCATTCTCTACCCAAAAGCTAGTGAGCATTTACAGCAAGCTCGCTTCTCTCTTTATATCCCTCCAGCAGCTCTTACTTACCCTTCTGTCTGATGAGGTTGGCCTGCTAGAGGGCAGACAAAATCCTCCACAGCTGAGCCACGACTGTTCTCTTCAGCTTCAGATCTTACTTACACTTACTTACCCCTTTTGTACCTCATGTTTCAGCTGCCCTGAATTTCCACAGTTCCCTGACTCGTCGTAGTTCACACTGCTCTGCCTTCTCATGTGCTCTTCTTGCTTCGTGGAAGGCCCTTTCCCCCAGGGACGACATCCCTAATCAGCCCTCGCGTTGTTTCTCCTGTGAAGCCATCCTAACTCTCCTCCCTGGCCTAGATCTGATCCTACTCCTCTTGTGACCCCTTCTCTACAGAACCTTATTATCACATGCACCATCTGCATCTGAAATGATCTATTTTTACATCTGCCCTCCATCCCCCACCCTAGACTGTTAGTTCCTTGAGGACGGGGGCTTTGCCATATTCAAATATTACTGGCTGACTGAATGAAGACACAGGCTGCACTCTTCTTTACTCCTTTACTTCCAATATAATCACACTGTCATCTATCAGGAGAGAAGGGAACCACTTAATTGCAGAAATAAAGGAGACTTTCTCACCCGGATAATCATGATGAAAGGACCAAATCAGAAGCTGAGACAAGATTTCTTGGCTCTCTCCCAGACTCTCACC